CCATAGAACACAAGGACTCTGGACATTTCACAGCATCATACAATAAGCCAGCTTCCTACATAGTCATGAAGAGAACACAAAACACAAGCCTTGCCGTGGTGGCTCAGATCCGAAAAGGGAAATTGTCTTGCCTGGGGTTCAGCCTTGGCAGAGATGGTTGACTAGGGTGTGACTATTTGAAAGCTGCAGATAAAGCCTTCAAACACTTCCAAGGACACGGTAGGAAGCTGTTACCTCTTTTTACTTACTGCTATTGAGTGAGTAGCTTCAGAGTGATAGCTTTCAAAGCTTTAGACCCTGTGTCTACCTTTCACATCCTTCACAGGGGGAGACTAGGGAACTAGATGTTTAGTCTTTATAAAGAACCGAAGGGTTATATGTTTTTGAAACAGGGTCTTACATATCCCCTTCTGGTTTCCTACTCACTATATAGCTGAGAATGACCTTGAACTTCTGATCCTCTTCCATCTACCTTTCAAGTGGTGGGATTATAAGCATAGGCCACAGGCCTGGTTTATGTAGTGCTAAGGAATCAAACCCAGGGTTTCCGGTATCCTAGGCAAGCACTCTATCAACTGAGTTACACCTCCACCCTCTGAGGAGCTGTGCTTTTTAAAAAATAAAACTCACATTTATTTAATTACGAGAGAGAGAGAGAGAGAGAGAGAGAGAGAAAGAGAGAGAGAATGCCATGACACATGTGTGGAGGTCAGGGGACAACTTGCAGGAGTTGTTTCTTTCCTTCTAACATGTGGGTCCCAGGAACCAAATTTAGGTCATCAGGTTTGCCTGCAAGTACCTTTAAAACATCTCACATCTCACAGGCGGTGATTTTTTAAAAATGTTTCTTTTCTGTATTTATTTGCATGCACATGCACGTACGTACGTGTGTGTGTGTGTGTGTGTGTGTGTGTGTGTGTGCCACAGGGTACATGTGGGGGTCAGATGATAACTTATAGGAGTTGATTCTCTATGAATGTTTTATGAGACATGGTCTAACTATGTAGAGATCCACCTGCCTCTGCCTCCTTAATGCTGGGATTTAAAGGCATATGCTACCACATCAGGCTTGAAGAATTTTGTTTTGAGGATTGCAAAGGTGTGGAAAAAGCTGGAGAAATCAAAAGCGACAAAATATTGTGAAAGTTGAATATGCAAAGAATGACAAAAGTTATCACTTTATGCATTAATGGCTTATAGTGAAACCTAACTGGGAAATGGGGTCTGCAAACTACAACTTACAGGAAGTCTAAACCAGTGTTGTGTTTCTCTTTGTATAACCTGAAAAATCAAGCTCTTTTTTGCATTCTTTTAAAATATTTTATTATTTTTATTTTATGTGTATGAGTGTGTTGCCTGTGTGTATGTAAGTGCACCCATGTCATGCAATGCCTGCGGAGGTGAGAAGAGGGCTTTGGATCCCCTGGAACTGGAGTTATAGATGGTTGTTAGTCACCATATGGATGCTAGGAACTGAACCTGGGTCAAGAGCAGCCAGTGCTCTTAACCCCTGAGCCATCTCTCCTGCGCCCCCTTTTGCATTCTTAATGGTTAGAAAAAATTAAGAGAAGGATAATATTTCATGACATTTGAAAATGATCTGAAATTCAAATTTTAGTGTCCATAAATAAAATCGTTTTGGAGCACAGCCATGTCCATTCACTTAAGTATCTCTGACAACTGTTGTGTTGCTGCAGAAGAGGTGAGCTTTTATTGTGGCTCTCAAAACCTAGAGCTTCTACTATCTGGCTTTGACAGAAAAATCTTGTTGACCCCTGACCGAGTGCCCTACTTTGTTCAAATCAACACTGAAATAGTTGCCAAGCAATTAAAGCTAGACAGCTTGCTGCCTGGCAACCATGTCTGTTCTTGCCCAGTGGGAGAGCAGGGGCTGAAGGCTGTAGGGCACCGCCCTCCACTTTTCACCTTCCTTTGGTGGAGGAACTGCTAGTGATGTTGTGGCCACATTCTCCCCGCATCCGAGGGCTGTAAAGTCTAGCACTCTGTGTATCTGTCTAGGTCTGCGTGGGTATGTAGAGGTAGATGTGACTCCCATATTATAGATGTAGAAACAGAGGCTCAGAGAGATACAATAACACATCCGTCTCACACTAGTATATAGAAGAGCCAGGACTCAGATTTGGTTTCTTGCCCACAGGAACTGCATACAGGGAGGGGATGCAGCTGGCCATGAGGTCCAGGAAGCTTTCCTATTAACTTTCTACCTTCACATTCATTTCTGGACCCTGACTCATTGCTGAGCCACACTCAACCCCAGTGGAGGCTGGTTGGTAGATGAGTATACCAACAGAGCCCCTTGCCATCTCCACCCCGGACCAGGAAACATCCCACACAGAAGTTGCTACTGAATACTCTTGAAAGATCTTTGGTTTTGCTGGGTGCAGAGATGACACCCTGAGTCCCGGGCTAGAGCTGTCAGTCTCCCCAACTGCAGCAGGCCAAGACTGACTTTGGCTCTTAACACCTCTCACCTCCCCTTTCACAGCATTTTTCTCTTCCAACCCCTCAACCCACATCATTCCTGCCCAGTCCTGTCCTTTCTAGGCCACAGGCTCCTAACACTTCTGTCTTTCTTTTAACAACAGAAACTTCTGTTACCTCCTCCCAGAGGACATGTGGGATGAGAATTTCTCCTGAAATGTTTGTCTCTCCTACAGCAGTCACCTGCTGGCCTATTTAGAAGAGAAGACACTGACTGAGTCCTTCACCCAAGAGCCCAACCAAAGGTCACACAAGGGAATGAGAAAACTCAAAGACACATAGGAACCACAGTAGAGTTTTGGCAGACACTGAGAGAGCTCGAAGGGATCCGTGGTGTTGGATTGTGAGACATCCTGGTGACCCTCCAGTCACTGCCATCTTGTAGGCCTTGCCTTCCTGCTGGGCTTCATGTGTGAGAAGTCGGTCAGGTCCGAGGGAAGAATAGACCCTCTGCCTCTGTACTGAGCCTTTCAGATTAGAGTTCTTCAACCACCAAAAGCCCCTTAGTTTCCCCACACAGTTCATAAATATCCCGAGTAGGTAGAGGAATCCGGCACATTGTGTCTTTCAGTTTCCCTTGGGTGTGGAATGAAAGGGGATCACGCAGAGTTTGGGAAGTGGTTCCAGCAAGGACCCCAGGACCACAGCAAGCCAGGCTTTGAATTTTGTTATGTTCTTTAGTCCAGCAGAGTCCAATTTTTCTCTTCATTTAGGACTTCTGATTTCAGTCTAAAGCCAACTGACATAAAGACCAAACGTTCTGGTCCTTTCTGGATGTGCAGTTGGGTTTTGCATAAAGGAAGAAAGTGAACTGGGGAGAAGGTCATTTAGCTGAAGGCAGGGCAGGCAACACAGTACTGATGAGCTCCAGTCAGCTCCCTGCCTGCCACCTTAGATGCCTGCAAATGATAAAATGATATTTCAGCCCAGAGGATGATCCACTTTGTATCTTTTCATGGTTTATGTGAATGTTATATCAACTCCAAAACAATTTCCTGTGTCTTCCATGATGTGTTAGAGTATGCATGGTGAGAATGGATGCCCTTTAATCAACACATGTTACTTGGAAAAAATATTTATTTCTCTATTCCTTATGACTTGGAATGAAATATAAAATCTAATTTGTCTTATTATGACAACTTGAGTAATATGAATAGTCACTTAAATAAGTAAGGTATCACTTAAGAAAACTATCAAAACAGCGTGTTTTCATAACTATAAAGGAACATGGGTTCCCACGTGAATGAGTATATGTGGGTGATTTCTCTTCTTGTTTGTAGTTACAGGTGTAAGGAACTCTGTAACGTGAGCTAAGGAGAAGGAGCTAAGCAGTCCATGTCCTTGCTGACAACCCCAGGTTCTGTTCGAGAGTCACCCAAACTTCCCTCTAGCAGTGGCTTTCTCTTTCTGCTTTCTTCATTAAGTGTAATCTGCAAAGCAGTTTATAGAAGAAAAACTCAGGTTCCCATTTTGTGAACCAGCCTTTGAGACAGGGCTGACCGTGTCCTTCTGAGGAGTGACAGTCGAAGGGGTGTTTTCTTTCTCCAGGAGCATCTGCCCCACTAGTTTCTTCAAGGTAACCTAGAACAGGTAAAGCCAGAGGGGCAGGTGCCCCCTACATTGATGAGCTGGTTACTAAGCAAAACTGACATTTGCTCTGGCCTTTGTGCTCACTTCTCATTTCTCCCTCCATTCTTTTTTACCTCTCTCCTCACTTCATCCACTCCTATTTGGAAAATAACACTCAATAGACCATCTGTCTCCATTGACTACCCTCTATTTCCTCTCCCCCCACCATCTCCCCGTATTATTATTTTTTACATATTTTCTCTTTACACACGTCTTACTTTTTTCATCTCTCTACATATACTTCTGGAATCTGGATGCTACCCTAACACACTGCTATTAGTACTCATGGCCTCTGTTCAGTTAAATCCAAAGCTTCTTTCTTCATTCTTCATCCTTTTAGGAAAACCTGCAACACTTAATAGCTTTGGTCAGCTTTCTTTCCTGAGGTCTATTCTCTGTAGGAATCCTGGTTTCTGTTCTGCCTTTGGGCCTGCGTGCTTTTTAAAGTTCCTCTTTGTACTAACTAGGGGTTAGCAGGCTGTCTAAAGTAGACTGACCGGTTACTGTTCTATCCAGACCAAGATATCTTCAAGAATTAAAGGATGTTCAATGGATAATAGACAGCAGCCAGAGCTCCTCCCAGCTAAACTGAGATGTCTGCTTCACTCTCCTAAAGCCCAGAGGGTCAAGGAGAGCAGAGCAGAGTTAATGGCCAGATCAAGGGGATTTCTTAAGTCCATTTTTAAGTTGCTTAGTTACTTCTGCTTAGATCATCATGTTAATCCAACTTCACATTCATGAAAGAATCCTGAGGAGAAGGGTCAGGGCAGGTTTGGAGTTGGGGAACGGTGACTGAAGAGGTCTGTGAGGAAAAGGCAGAGCTGGCTGGACCAGCTCTTATAGTACTCCCTGGGTTCCAGTCAGAGGATCTACCTTTTAAAGTAAAGATGAATTTGGTGCTGAATCCGTCTCCAGGCTCTTCTCAGACCTGGGTTTCTAAAAATCAGATGTACTGATTGGCCAGCGGGGTAGGCTGTCATGATGAAGTTGCACAAAGCATCCCAGAAACTGTAGGCATCGAAGACACCTGTCATGGAAATAAATAGAGCCAATGCATTGATAATGTAGAGAACCAGAGTGTAGCTGGTTGACTGGATGGCACCCAGGTGAGCCTCCATGCTGGGGTCTCTGAAGCCTGAGGAACTGCTTTCCATGTGCAGGGTGTGCCTTTTGAGTGAGGCGATCAGCAGAGTGGCTGCCATGACAAACATGACCAGAGGAACAAGGATCCCCATGTGGAATAAGAAAGCCATGTTGAACATGTTGGTCTCAGAGACGTATTTCCTCTCCGTGGAGTTGGAGAAAGGGATGGGAATGGAACTGTTCACATGCATATTGAAGAAGTCTTTGGAGAATAATGAACTCAAGCTGAGGGAAACCAACACGGACAGACTCAAGAGCTGAGGCATCAGCACTGTGATTTTCCTCTTCATCATAAGGAACAAAGGGTGAGTGAAATTTGCAATTTTAAGACAGTAGAAGACATTGAGCCAGGCAGCAAACCAGAGGTTACAGTAGCTCAGAAACACAGTAACGGCTTTGAAGGATGTATAGACTATACTTTGGCTATAAATGACTCTAAAGAGTAGACTATAAATAGTCTCTGCCATTATCCATATCTGTAGCAAGAGCCTGGAAAAACTCAGCATCAACATAAGGAGCTCACTGGTGGGGAGTCTTTTGTTCCTGACCCACTCAGTCCCGTAGATGACCGTGATAAAGCCATTGCCAGCGGTGCCAATGGTGCAGTTTGTCGCAGAGACCACCAAGGCGATCAAGATTTTATAGTTGGAAACACCTTCGTCACTCACATCTGAGGTCACTCTCGTCATTCTTTCTGACTCTGGAATTTTAGGCTCCACACCGAGAACTGATAACTGCTGTGCAATTCTCCAGCACTCACTGTTACAGTGATACTTTCCTCCCTTAGTTGATAGTTATTTCATATTTTTCCCCATTTGCCTGTCACATGACCACAAGTAGGAGGCTTGACATGCAAATTATGAGAGGATTTGGTTAGCTGGTTCTGACTCCATTTTTCATTTGTTTTTGGGGGGGAGCTTTCTCAAGCGCACTGAATGAAATTTGTGATGGATGTCCAGCACAGCAGCATCTTATCTCATTTACTTTGTCCACAGCCACCTGGTAAGACAAGAATCTCGTTAGGAATCTCAGTGTCCCAGGTGTTTTCCACTTGTCTCATAAGACTAAGTTACTCATTGTTTGTTTGCAAAAGCACATACTGTGTCTTCAGTCTGCTTTGTCCTGCTTCCTTCCTGTGTTGCCCAGGCTGGCCTCAAACTTGAGATTGTCCTGCCTCTGCTCCTCAAGTAGCTGGGAATACAGGACTGCACCACTGTGCCCAGCTGCCTGCGTCCTTTCCTATTGTCCTTACTTTGGGATAAGATTTTATTCTTATGGCTACCATGTATCTGAGTAAGAAATTCCTTTTAGCTCATGTCTGAATATCTTTTACTTAGAATGAAGTTTCTTTTGGAAAGACCTCAAACTGTACACAGAAAAGGAAAAACTGGATGTCATTTTGGTTAATTAGAGACAAGATTCTCATCATATACAGTTTTCATTTTGTGTGTGTGAGAGAGAGAGAGAGGAGAGAGAGAGAGAGATGCATAATTTTCCAAGCGCCACATGACCATTTGAGCACAGAATCCTTACCTGAGAATACTTTAGAGTGCTTTGAACATGGTGTTGAAGTTGAGAAATGCAGAAACGCACCGGAACTCAAAATTTAACTCACTCCTTCCTAGCTCTGGCTTCAGGATTCATTTCAAACTTACTACATCAGAATCTGGGATAGGACTCAGGAATATGCTGTCTTTTGTTTAAAATCTAAACAGTCATGTTGCTCAAAGGTAGGATTGAAAATCAAAGTCAGATAGAAACTAATGAACCAATATCTAAATCTGGTTTGCAGTTGCATTTTATCTTGAAATTATCTGACATTGGGAAGTATTCGTTTACCAGTAACTAACCTTTTTTCTTATTTTATTGCCCATGTAAGAGATTGCCTACATTTTTATCCACATAAAAATTTGTATACTCTTGGAAAGTTATGATTATTGAATATTTTCATACTTTCAGGTTAGAGATAGCAATTTAATTACTACTGGTACTTATCTTAAAATCTACAAATTCCACTTCTGTAAAAGTCCAATATTTATCTCTTTTTCCCACTGGGAGAGGGAAAAATCTCTCAAAAAGGAGAAAAATAGGCCTCGGGCAGTTTTCAGGAAAAAAGATAACGTTCACCAGAAAAGTGGGGGAAGGGCGAATGAGAATTCACTTGATGGTCATAGTGACACCAAGGATGAAAACCTTGGTAAACACTGGGAAACGCGGGAAATGGGGCACTTCAAGGTGGTCCCTGCTTCTTGTTTGGCATCCTAGGGGTCAACCTGTGGGATAAGCACAGTCCAATGCAGGACAGCTGCCAAGAGAATGTAACGGCAGCATGGCACAAGCCAAGTGAGGGTCTGTCAGGGCAGGTCTTATGCTTCCCTGGCTCCCACACAGGTTCTGTGTGAGGTATTTCCTTCATGATCACAGTAGGTTATGGGGAAGGTGGCTGGTAAGAGTTGAAAACTACAAGTCATTCAGGTCGCTGTGAGATGACTCCAGAGCAGATACAACAGAGCACATAGCCAGGGTTCGGAAGATAAATGTGGCCGAAATACAAGGGCCTGTGATGCTCAAGCAGGCTCAAGGAGGTGAAATCAAGTCCTGTGAGCTGTCCTGGACAGCTGTCCTTTGATGTTACTGCCACTGTCATATCCAGCCAAGTTCTCTTGCTCACAGGCCTCTTCAGAAGCAAGACATGAACTTCTCTGAGTCTCTTGATCTCCCTGGAGCCCAGAGCCACACATCTTCCCTTCTTCAGCTAGCTGCCACCTTAGCTCACCTTCCAGTCTGTGAGCCATCTTGCTTCATAGTGCAAGTGTCTTTCCCATCTTCATAGTACTTGGGTTCCACCTCACTAACCCAGAAATTGAGGTGTTAGAATAAAGGTTCAAGGCTGCCTGGTTGCTTTCCTGATGTGTAGGAACATATACTTAACACTAATGTTTAGAATCATTGCCTGTGAGGCCTGTTTCATCAGTTTCTGGGCCAGGCTCAAGTACCAGTGTGCGTTTCACAGCCAGTGAAATGATATGCCTATGGGGACATCCTCAGGATCCTCTTCAGTTTTGGCCAGGGCATATCCCACAATCTTCCCATCCTTGTCTTCTTATAGAAGAGCTGGGGCCATGGAAGATCATGAGAGAAATAATATTTCATCTGGTAGTTTTCAGGAAGCTAAGGGAGGTTTCAGTGTTGCATCCCCATCAAGCCATCTGGCTGACATGGAGGACATTCATATTGGGTGCAGATAGCATGCCTGTCAGACTGAGAACAAGAGATGCCACCAAGCACAAGCATGGTGGGCACAACACAAGCACCATTTGCTTTAAACCCAAACAAAGCTTCTCCAAGATAAGGAAGATGTCCCTGTAGTTTCCATTTCTTTTTGGTAATGCTGTACAGAACCTCATCTAGCTTCATGCAGGAAGGTCCCAGTTGTAGCCAAAAGGAAGGACAACCATCCTCTGAGATGAGTGAGGCTGGTCTACCTGTCAGCCATTGTGCAGTTGCAGGAGTGTCATGCAGGAAGGTCCCAGTTGTAGCCAAAAGGAAGGACAACCATCCTCTGAAATGAGTGAGGCATCGTCCTCATCCAATAGGATGGTCTGGTCTACCTGTCAGCCATTGTGCAGTTGCAGGAGTATGTACATCTTGAGGGAGCCTGTGCATTGTAGAACCACAAGCTGCCTTCAGTGGGTCAATGCACCTGATTGCCTGATCCTCCCAGTGGCACCAGTGCCTCCTATATCCAGAAGGTTTGGTTTTATTGAGTTTGCATGGTGAATTGGTAGAAGCTGGCAGTGATTGCTTATTTTAAACAAGGATTATGCTTTCAGTTTAACAGTATAGCCCAGTCCCCACTGCCCTTTGATGCTTAGGCCTGGTACCAGCTGTCATTTGCCTGTGAGCTTGTCCTATTGTATGGAAAGGATGGTACAAAATGAATTTTCATAATCCCAAGTTAATTTGATTTAAACTAAAGAAGTTGGCAATGCATTATTATAAAATTCAGTTATGTGCTTACGTGGTGAAGATTGCCTATTGTCTCAGCATTCAGAGTGTTGAGACAGAAGGACAGCAAGTGCGAAGGCCAAGCTGAGCTTCGCATAGGAAGATCACATCGCACGCAAACAGATGAACAACGAAAATCAAACTCAGTCAAATTGTGTTGTGTTATTGGGTCACACTTCTATAAAAATAGCGCCAGACAAAGAAGGGTAATGCAAAATTGCTAAGGCATTGTTTAGAGAAACAAAAACTGATGTCAACATAAAGACTCACACAAGAATGCCCATGGCTATTTTATTCACCATAGACAGAAGCAGGAGACAAGATCTGGACGTTTTACGTAAGTTCACACTTTCTGTAGGAGGCCCGCTGACTTGCTTCTACTGAGGAGACATCACAACTTCTAGAGCACCAGCTTTCATCTTTATGCTTATTTTCCCCAAATCAGAAATCTGTACATAGTTGTTGATTTCCACTGTTTCGGTACCTTTTCTGTTGGTTTTTATTTATGCTCTTCCTTACTTTCGGGAAGTGAACAGAAGGACATGGTGAGCAGGATCTGCCCACAGCCACAGGGACTTGAGGACAGGGAGCAGCCAGTGGGTGTGGGAATGGATGCATATGCTCTACAGAGGGTCGGGTCTATGGTTGCTAAAGTCAAGCCACACAGTGTCATATTTGTAGCAATGTGGCGCACTCAGTTTTTAAAATCTAGAGAGCGGACCGGAGTGGCTTGAATGTGGTCACTGAAGGTCATATATTGGAAATTTAATCCCCAAAGTAACATCGATGAGATGTCAGATCTTTTAAAAAAATAATTTTTATTTTTTGAGAATTTCATAGATGTATACAGTGGATTTTGACCATATCTACACCCTTCATCTCCTCCCAGACCCTCCCCACATTCTGTTTTCTTTCCAACTCCAACTTCGGGTTCCTTTTTTTATTACCCTCTGGACCAACTAGTGCTATGTCGAGCCATGAGCATGGGTGTAGGTAGGGTCATCACTGGAGCATGGGTGGTCTACCAGGGGCCATGCTCCTGGACAGTACTGACTCCCTCATTCCCAGCCTCAACCAACTGCCAATAGCTACTCAACTAGGGGTGGGGCCTTGGGAGCCTAGCTCCCATTTATGCTGGAATTTTGAGTGGCTTGATCTTGTATGGATCCTGGGCAGGCCATCAGAGCTGCTGTGAACTCGTGAGTGCAAAGATCATGTCTAGAAGACACTGCTTTGCAGCAGACCACCCCACCCTGTTGCTCCTGTAGTCTTTCTGTTCCCTCTTCCACAATGTTCCCCTAGTCTTGGTGGGTATGTGTGACACAGATGTTGCATTTAGGGTTGTGCACTGGAGAAATGGGACCCTTAAGCACGATTAAGTCATAAGGGCTCCGACATCAGGAATGGATTAGCATTCTTGTCTCAATAGCATGTTTATTATGGAAGTGAATTCGCCCCCCTCCTTCTGCCTTCTTCCATGGAAGGGTGCAAGAAGAAGGTTTTTGCTAGATAAGGGCAGCTTGACCTTGCAACTTCCCCAGCTTCAGAACCATAAGGAACAGATCTCTATTCTTTACAAATTACCCAACCTGTGGCATTCTGTTATAACAGAATACGATAACTAAGACAGGAAGCACCTGTACTTCAGAGATGATCCCACTGTGGATCATAGCTGTTAGGT